GTACCCGCCTAGTATGTACCTGTCACGTTTGTTGCTTTTGTTGGTCAAACTAATCTTTAAATACAATTTTTTAAGGTACTCCTGCCAGGCCGAGCTCAGGAAGGCCAGTTCCCTCACTTGGTGAGTTAATAATGTGGGGTGATTAGTTGCATGGTTAATGTTCCTCTTCATTACTGATCTTCAAACAATCCCCGTAACTTTAGTTTTGAATTATCAATCGGATAGCTGATTGTCCAAGTGATTTGGACTGGGACCCACATTGTATGGACAAGCAGTACCTTACTGTCTTCCCAGACACTGTTTGCTGGATCCGTACAGTGCATTTCTGGATCTTGATTAAGGCACCAACATAACGGCAGGCAGGTCCACGGTTTTCTACCATAGCAATCATAACATCACTTATAATGGTTATAATTACATTACCTAATCACAACCTTTTCGGTCATTCAACCTGGTTGGTAGTCAACGAATACGGTGGCCGCCAGGTGCATGTGTTTCTGGTTGAGCAATCAAGCGTAGTTGGTACAAGTTTCTGCAATCTCTCAGTCCTGTGTTAGTGAGCATTTTTTTCACGCAGAGCCTGTATTTCCCAACAGCAAATATTTCGGTACTCAAGGCTGTTGGCGTTTCTATTTAGATAGCCAAGAAGCAAGCACGAGCACGAGTGGCCAACCAGAAGTGGGTAATATGTTGGCCCACTCTTCGGGAAATCGGAAGTCACGCCCAGAAAGTGAGTAGCAATCCTAAATGCTGCTATATGCAGACCACACCATGCAGCAATACAAACATAACACTTAATGTAGAACCAGAATAGACATGTTGCAGCATCTGATTAAAACAAGTGTTCAAGTCCATAAAAAAAAATCTCCACTGTCAAAAGGAACAGAGTAGAAATTTGTGCTGCTTATAACTATTAAGGTGCAAGTTCTCTCATTAGCAACTTGTAATGATCATTTGTGCATGCTTCCTGTAGTTAGATATGGCCTGCATAGTTAATGCAATAAATGCAGGGGTGCAGGCAAGCTGGATAATAAGAACCAATAAATATTCCCTTAAGGGGACATAGGACAATCACAAATCTCCAACAGCAGCTATGTGATTTGTGCGTGACGCTGGTTTCATAGCTATATAATGGAAATGTTACAATGCAGTGGTGTGACCGCTTTGAACCATGCAAACATCTTTTCCGTCGTCTGCAGGAATCAAAGAAGACCCCACACAAAAAATCATTGAAGGACAACAGGCTATCACAGCCCGCTTGTATAGGCTTGTGGAGCTGCACGAACAGATGGTGGCTCTAAAAGCTTACAAACTTAATGTATGTTTTCAGAACGGAGAAATTGTTCCAAAATATGAATAAAAAGGCACTTGTATAAAACAGCAATACATTGTTTCTTTATTACACAAAGTTTCTGGTGTCACCGCTGATCTCTACGATGATTTTCTGGATCGCTTCTTCCTCCTTGTAGCGCAGGTGAATCCACCGGAAGTTCTCAATCGGCCGTCTTATGCCATGCAAAAGTCAGCCGGGTGTAGTGCCGTGAAGACTAGTGTGTACATCCATGGAAAAAACAATTTTGAGCTTCATCACCGTCATGATTGAAAAGTTTCATGATGTTTTTGGAAACTAGCCACTGCGTTTCCAGTGGCTAGTTTCCAAGAATTGCTAATAAATTATAGGCTTCACAAACGTGCTTTCTCGATGCGCCTCCACAACTGCGCGCACGTCCCGGCAGCAGCCGTTGCAGCCATCTGCCATCTCGCTCATCTGCCAAGTTGTACGTCGTTGGCAGTGTACCGTATCTGCGGCAGCCTAAAGGCATTGCGACGGGTAAACTTATTTGAATATGCTTTTCGTCGTAATTTACCTTCATGTATTGCAGTGTCACCGAATCCAATTATTTTGCACCACAACCGTGGCACGTTCGACAAAGCGTTGGTGCAGCAGAAGAGCTAGCACAAAGGGGAGGGGTAAGAATGGGGCAGCCGTTGGCTCGTCGCTCACCCGACTCAACTGCTCAAAAGTTGTTGCCGTGGTAACCTGCGCCTGCTCGCGTATGCCACATGGTCATGTGGTAGCGGAAGGAGGGGCATACCAAAAACTCCCATTATTTCTCGCGCGCGCGGGCTTTTGGGATTTTCGAAAAGGGTCTATTGAGAACTTCCAGTGGCTTCACCCGTGAAGTGGTGATGCGTGATCCAGAAAATCGTCGGAGATCAGTGGGTGTCATCTACACCCAGTGATCGCTTTTGTGCTTTCGTAAGCTTTCACTTGAATACTTCGTTAACAAGGTTTCTCCTAACAACCACGCCAGCAGGCGTGTCCCTGGCGGTGCTCGGCCTGCCTTCTTCGTCTTCCTCCTCCTCCTCCTCCTCCTCATCGGATTCCACAACTGTAAAAAAAAGTGAATTTGATGTTGGTGCTTAAACGGCGTGAGTTTGATCTCCCATTGAAGGGCAACACTGGCTTTCGCTATAGATCCAGCAATTTAGTCAGTTCAGTAAAACTGCTTGCATGGCAACTTCAGCGTGCACCACGCAGTAGCGATACACGACCACACGCCAGTACGAGCCGCATCCAGAACGAAAGGGGTGGGTATTTGAGCCAAGATTTCTGTGTTCTCCTGCACAAGCTTTCGCTCCATATGCTACGAGCTGGTGTGCACTTAGCCCACTCGGCCCCCAATCATTCACCACCCGCTACTGTTGAGAAAGTCGTAATTTGCACAGCAGCAAGAGGACATCTCAAGATTTGCAAGCATGATTATAATACAACAGTAACTGAATAATAACTGCAGAAAACACTTTCTGAGAACAGTCCTAATAAATTATAGGCTTCACAAATTTGTCCAAAGGCTCGAATTGGAGTACACGTCCTGCATTAGCTACTGTTGCTTAATATGCTGGCTGAGCTCCCCTGGCAGACTTTCCGTCAACATGTCATGAATGGTATTCTATATTCTGCTTCACCCGATCCTCTTATGAGAGGAACTCACAATCTCATTATATAGATGCTTCAATTTCAGAAGAAAGGCAGGCGACTAAAACAGCCGCTTCCACTTGCTAGCTTCAATGGCTCAACCACAACATTGCACCCACCAACAGAAAGGGCAGGTTTACCTCAAAGTTCCGTTTCATATATACACGAACTCATGTTTAGAAACAAACCGGAGCGCCCCTAGCAGACGCCACCAGCGCAACACTTGCGCGATGGAGTGTGGGCAAGAAGCTCACCGTCACCCATAAACAAACCATTGAAATGCAATGTTGTCGGCGTCGGTGTGAGTCCCCCGGCTCTTTTTCGCGTTCGAATTGTTGATTCTATGTCCTCCTGGCGATGTCTGACTACTTGAGCGGCCTCAGAGAAATTACCGAGGCTCGTTAAAACGTTGCGTGAATAATGTTACATGCGGCGATTCATTCTGCGGAGACGCCACAGAATGTACGCCAAGGCCTGATTCGCATGATGAGATTTCGCTCGCAATTTTCAGTCACGACGTCGCTCGGGATGCGAAAGTGTGAACCGTAGCTGAGATGGCCGACATCGATACTGAAAATCGCAAGCAGAATCGGACCAAGTGAATCAGGCATAACAAGTCGGTGATGGCCACTGATAACAATTAATCAATATCTCCTTGTATCTACTGTTTACATCAAGACTGCTTACCAACCTCCAAACTCGAGTCTTTTGAGGTCTGCACTTACTTCTTATCGCAAGTACCGGACCGATATTTGGTCTACGAGCCGGTGTAGTCTAAAAGAGCAGAAGACAAGCAGAATCGTTTGAAAGAGCAGACGACAATTCGAACGATCAGGCGGCCGTTTGAACTTGAAGACGCACTGAACGTAGTTTGCAGGTGGTCCGTACAACATGACGGTTTTCAGGCGTTCATGTTGGAGCAAAACAAATAAATCTGATGACCACAAGTTTTCGTGAATTTAACCCAAAGTGCTACCCGCTCAAGCAATCGTGGTCCGACGGCATCTGGTTTTCCCTTTTCACGGCACATTTCCACGTTCTCGGACGAACCGAGTACATGAAAACTGACCTTTAAACCTTTCTCGACTCTTCTGGTACAACCCCAGTCTCGGCATTTTGACGAGAAGGCAGGTTCTTTTTTTTGTCTGTTCCTTTCAAAACAATCCAGGAATACACGTCTGAAATGGGGACTTCCGCCCACAGCTTCAGACCGGAAGTGCGCCCGGCACGCCACCACCACGCCGTGACGTAACAGAGATGAGTTTGCGAATACTCGATCAGGCTCAAAATTTAAGAATAATGACTGTTTCATCAGGGTGCACAAACTATTCACAGAGTTGCAGCTAACAGAAGTATCTCGCAGGCCTACGAGAGTAAAAGCCGGGCTCATTTAGTCGTCTGTACACTGTATGTTTGAAATATGTGGCCCCATGGCAGCTGAAACGTTCACTGCAAAGTATCTTTCTGGCCTCCGCCTGTGCGGTCTGGCAGCTAGTGACGAAAAATTGTCTTGTTCCTCCATTGTAATTCACGGACATCCTCTGCAGAGGTATTGAGAATCATTTTCATCCCACTGGAACTGCCCCCAAAGTCTAGAAAATACATTGCTCTCTGAGTTCGGCGAGTCTTCAGATGACTGACAATTCTGTCCTAGAAAACATCACTCATATGGGTTAAATGAGCCTTATTCATTTCATATAGAGCAGTGTCACTTTGCAAAAAAGCACAGCCTACGCACTACTCCGCAGCTACGGCCGTTTGTTTGGTAACCTGTTAAGCGTCACTTAACAAATCTTGTAACGTGGCACTTAATGGGTTACTAAACCTAAAACTATTCTGCCAGTGGAGAGCTTCTAAAAGAGATTATAGTCAAAGCTGTAGTCAGCTCAGCTTAGCTGCCCCTCTGCAATCCTGTGACAAGAAAAGTGGGTGAACCTTCTGCAGAACCCAAGTAACCCAAGTCCAGAGTTACAGCAAACAATGCTTTCACCAGCCTCATTTATGTGATATGACCAGGTGATTAATGCATAAACTCTTCAGAGAACATGTCTTTCTTACCTGGTGGATCTGTGAGGGAGACATGGTGCCGGATGCTGTAATTGTGGAGGACCACACACGCCACGATAATACGGCAGCACACGCCCGGAGTGTACTGCAGTACCCCTCCCGACCTGTCGAGACACCTGAAGTAGTGGCGTAGCAAGGAATTTTGTTAATTCAGTATTTACTGTTAGTGATGACTATATGAAGTTTATGCAGCCCCCAGAACCCTTTGGCAGTCCTGTCTATTTACTGCTCCTCGAAGTCCCTGCTTTTATATGCGTTCCCCCCATTGCCTGCATTTCCGGTTTGACTATACCGTAGTTCATACTTTCTGTGATCCCACTTTCAGCGTATATGTTGTGCTGGGGTGCAATCCAAAGGCACCAAAGTCAAGAACAGGTCAGGCCCAGTCATTATGCAACTTTCACTGAACTGTCAGACGAAGAGGAACGATCATAAGTATGGCTGTCTAACATGCTGAAGCAACACTATATGTTCTCGGATTCCAGCTAGTACTGCACGATGCTGGAAACCGAACTTCTCTTCTAAGATAGCCCTTATGGGGAGTCTGCCACAGCCAGGCACATAGCCAGGCGGGTAAAGGAGGGGAAAGGGGAGGTGCCAGCAAAACTGGAGGACTTTAAAGAGGACCCAGATCACGCTACCTGGGCCTTCTCCCTGGATATGTGCCTAGCTCCAACTAGTTTTTTGGTCTCCAAGTGGGAACAGTGTTAACTGCACCCTTTTAGCATGAGGGTAGAGAAATAAAATAGGGACAAAAAAAAAAGATCTGTTTTTGTTTTATGCCGCACATGCAGAAAGGAGAGAAGGTAGTTCTGAGGAAATTTCAGAACAAGTTTTAGCTCCCAAACTCAGACTCTGCTGACGCTACTGACCGGAAGCGGGACTTCAATATCCCGAATGTCCTCTCTATAACTTGACGCGTCTTGGTGAGGCACATGTTGTAGGCTTCTTCGCCCTCTTCCTCCTTCGGCTTGCGAAATGGCGTCATCAGCCATGGCTGCAGGGGGTAGCCTGCATCCCCTAAAAGATTAAAAATAATATGAGATATCACGTAAAGCCATGCATAAGTAATACAATAGATATGGCTGCTTGGGGTTTGGGCTTGCAAACAAAGCGCTCCAGCAACACCTGAACTGGTAACCAAAGAGTTGCAAGTTCGTCTCCCAAGCTCTGCCGGTTTCGACATGAACGGGCATTTCGTTTGCGTGGATTTGTAGATCACTACTACGAGGGGCACCCTACAACTTCCAGGACGGCAGACCTGCAGCGCTCGCCTGAAATTCCCCACTACAGCTGTAATACATTTCCAGACTTGAACAGACGGAAGCTCACTACAGTAGATAACGGGAAGAGATTCATGGAAGAAAGCTGTATCGGTTTAAGCTTAATTCCTTCCTAACTTGTTAGTGGCCACGCAAGTAGCACAAAGGAAATGACTGGCTCGCTTTGCCCTGGTTTAACTTATTATATATTTAACTAAGTACCTATCTAGGAGTTACACTGAAATTTGCAAGCTGGCTCAAACCTTTGCCAAGATCCAAATGCAAAAAAGGCTGGATACCAAGAGGCTACAAAGCATATGGTCGTTCAGCCTGTCAACTATTAAATACTCATATGAAATCCAAATTAAAATATACCTACCCAGCAACCAGTCATCGGGCGTGCCCCCAGCCTCGAACCTCTCCGACAAGTCGCAGTTGCGCCACATAAAACTGTCATGCGTGCTCCCCGGCCACTTCACAGTGAGCTGTGTGATTTCGTTCGACGCATTGCAGACCGCTTGCACATTCAGGGAGTCATAGCCTTTCCTCTTTCGGTAGATGTTCTGGACCTTCTTTGCAATCTTGAGGGCGATGTGCGTGCCGTCGATGCACCCCAGCACCTTGGGGAATCCATTGGTTTCCGCAAAGCCTATAGATTAAAACAACGAAGTGTTCAACATTCTGTGAAGCAGTGGACATCTTGGATATATTATTTACCACATTAAAATATATACAAAAATTGGTCTATCAAAGAGATGACCTCTAAATATTCATACCTCAATTAAAGCACTATCGCACCCATTTAAACACTATTAACAAAAAAAAAGAAGGGTTTTGGGGGTGGGGGGGGGGGGGGGGGGGGCAAAGATTGATTTTGTTAGTTGTCATGGGCATTGCATGAACAATGCATTGCTGACTGAGAGTCTCGGCGACCATTCTTCACAATGCCGTTGCTCACGTCAATCTATACAACTTCGTTCGCGTCAATGAAAGTTACACTCATTAGGGTCATGCGGGAGGCACTCACTTGATCGAATGACGTTTTAGCGAACGCCCACGTTCCCCCCCGATTAAAGCTGATCAGGCTGAGTAAACGCACTAACAATTCGCACTGAAATAAAATAACAGGGTAACTAACGAGCACGACATTGGGGAAACACTTACCGCGTGCAGTACGCATTGCTGCCGGCGGGGTCACGGGGAACTTGATCCCTTTTTCGGCAAAGTTGCAGAGCGCGCTGCTCACCGAGTTTATGATGCGCGAAGCACTCGTCTGGCTCATATTCCCCACGTCGCCCACGACCGACTGAAAACTGCCGCTCGCATAAAAGCGAAGCGCCAGTAGTACTTGGGCGTCCACGGGGAGCGCACAGTTCCGAGCCGTCGGACGGCGGAGCGCAGGTGCGAGCGCCTCGCAGAGTCTCTCCATGGCAGGTCTCGGGAGACGGTAGTACCTCGCCAGATGGTTATCGGCGATGGTGTCGAGTGTCCGAGGAGTGCGGAACACACGTTGCTGCCGTAGATTCCGCTCCGCGTCGCGCTGCTGCTGAAGCAGGTAGACGACGTACGCGGCAGCCATTTTGGTTAAAAGTCGCCAAAACGTTCGTAAGATCGATCGGAAGCCTGTCGTAGGATTTCGTCTTAACTTACGCAAAACTTACGAACATTTTGCTTCGGGAATACTCAAGAGTTCGTAACTTTGTCGTAAGATAAATTTACGAACTTTTGTTGTCGCAAGAAAGTTTCGGGAATCGAAGGCCGGATTCTCAAAGCGAACTTGCGACGAAAAAAATGCGTACGACAAATTTGAGAGAAAATCCGTATTCTCGAAACGAAAATGTCGCAACTTTTGCGCAGGTTACGACAGAATCCTACGCAGCTCCGAAGCTGTCTTACGCACTTTCTACGATCAAATTAACATGGCGGACAACGTAGCTCAGTTGCGCGGTCGCGACTACGCGGACATTTATTTTTCTACCTGCTCTTCTTGCGCGTCCCGACTTCAAGCAGCACGAAACAAATGAAGAAGTACTTGAAACCGACCACGAGGAACATGAACGCTGGATCCACAGACACCCGGAAACGGAAACAAAGGCAACGATCCCACCGACCAAGCGAGTTCGGCAGAATATATAGGCCTAGCAGGCACTCCGACCCGTTCCGGGGCAGCATTGCTCAGACGGTCCTTGGCCAAGACCGGCTGGCTTGCTGAATGGAATATGCCAGCGCGACCCTTGTGGACCCTCCCCGTATGAATAGTTTGATAGCTGAACTAAATTTCAGAGGTCAAGTCTGAACTAAATTTCAGAGGTCTCGATCACCTTGTTTTCCGAGGCAGCGGTGACGAACGCTGTCGTCGAAAAGGGACTCCTCGATTCTATCTCCTTGTTTTGTGTGATATAGAGCTCAAATAAACGCCGTATGGTTTACCTTCGCAACACGGTGTGTACACTTTGTTATTAGTATGCCATTTTTAACTGTCGAGCTGTATCAGTTTGTGGGAGCTACGCGACGCCGGTCCAACCTTTTTTTGCCGAGTGTCACGTCAGTATCGAGTTGCAATCGTAGAAGATCGGTCCCGAAGCGCCTACCGAAACGCAGTCTGAAATCTGAATCCAGCACTTTGATCAAACGCACGCGTCCGCTCCAAGTGTGAACAGGTATTTGCGTGACTCTTGCTGACACTCTCGTAGTTCAAACATATCTTTTTTTAACGTCGGCTCACTCCTGCATTTCCGAGGCCGCGAGAAACGCCGCAGCGGTTTGTTTCCATCTACGTTTCTTTGCAAACGACTGGCACAGTGCTTTTACCAACGATGACAGTTGTGCTGACTTCGTAGCCATCAAGTTTGCAGCAGTCAACGAAGCGTTTAAATCGTGTTAGCGTCGATATACCACTGCACGGACACGAACCCCAGACAAGCGGTGGTGGAAAGGCCACCCGTGTTTATGAGAATCGGCTTGAACACTAAACATTTACACACAGCCAGGACAGGACATACACAGAGCTGTCTATCAACGAGTGGTTAGCCTGCGTTTGTTATTAAAATCCACGTTCTCCGAACTATGCCTAGCTCTCTAATTGGTTGTTCGTTTTGCCGAAGACGCCGTTGCCATAGCAACAGCACCGGAAGTCATCGTTTCTCCGTAAGAGGTCGTAACTTTCCTCCTCTCAGTTAAGAACGCGTTTGTGAATACCGTTCTCGCCTCATCTTACGATGATCGTAACTTTACGAACTTCGTAGCTAAGTTGTCGCAGGTAAGAGGTTTTTTATGAATCTGGCCTCTGGCCTCTGGTGTTGCCCACGGCACCGTATGTAACAGCTCCTGCCAGATCTCCTTGGATGTTGTTGTCCACTGTTGGTCGAGTGGCTGTCGAGTGGTCGCCGCCGCACACATCGACTTGAGGATATGGTAGTGGCCATGGTACAGGGAAAAATAAAACGCCCAATGGCCAGCTATCTGTTGGAATGTCCTCCTGCGCCGTGGCGCCGTCAGGACTGGCAGAACGGCCTCAAGGTCTTGGAGGCAACTTGTGGTGTGGGATAACGTTTGTCGCGTCCCACCATTAAGAAAAAAGCCCAAAACTTGATAGTCTGGGTCGGAGTGAGGATCGTGTCCTTTAAATTCAGTTGGAGTCCGTGTGTCTGCACGAGACAAGTTAGATCCGCTGTTACTTGTTGAAGAAAGTTCGAGTCACCGTGTGCAAATAAAAAATAGCCAAGGTGGCTCCATACCCAGACACCTTTGGTTCTGGCATAGCGCGTGATCGCATTAGCGAACATTTGCATTACAAATGGAGCCGGCCTGATCCCGAAGGCGAGGACTGTGAAGCGCTAGTACTCTCCATCCAGACGGAAGGTTGCGAGTCGGCGTGCCGCTGGGTGGAGGCCAAAGTGGTAGTACGCTTCTGTTAAGTCTAACTTAGTGAAAAATTGTTGCTTGGGCAGTGGATTGATCTGAATAGCTACCGGCAAAGGAGGTAACTGAAAGTTTGGCGCCTTCAGGTGCGGTGTCAATGCCGCACAGTTCAGCACACACCTACTCTCGGTTTTGTTTTTTGGGACCACTTGGATCTTATTTAAAAATGGTTCGCTATTTGTCTTTTCCAGCACGCCCGAGGCGAGCATAGATCGCACTGCTTCTCGTAAAACCGGTAGTTGGTCAGGTTTCAGGGGCTGGTTTTTCACCACCGAGGACTTATCGCAAGCAATTCGCAGACTAGGTGGATCTGCTGGGGGGTGATATCCTATGACTTCATCTAGACTCGCCCAGTCGACTGACGGAGGGGGGAGACTCGGTCTGACGGGTCAGAAAGCGAATACGGAAGGTCGCGCGGCAGTTCGTCTCGTGTCATCGTCGTCTTGTTCATCGTGTTCGGGTTGGTCTGAGTCGACTGGTACGTCATGTGCCTCCAACCATCTGCGGATTCGTTCGGGTCTGAGGGCGAGCGTGTCGTCCTCAGATTCTAGTGTCTCAAGGGGCTCTGTGGTACCGGAGGGCGGGGTAGCGTCTTGTGACTCGGGGACAATTCCTACTTCTTGCAAGGCTTTTGCCAGATGTGTTGTGGAACAAGATCCTGCACCACGGCGAACGTAGGGACTCCATCTGTCACGGCTACGGTAGGTTGAGCTGGGCCAGTTATGAAGTTCTTTAGATGTGCCTTGCTCAGCTTCGAGCTCTCGTTAAAGTTCAAGACACTCGGGGGGGGGGGGGGGGGTGGCTCGGGTGGACCTTGTGTTGGGTCTGGTAGGGGAGGCCGGCGGCGAGTCTCGTCGGCGGGGTCTACTGGGCCTGGTGCTGGGAGCACCGAGGAGGTACGTTGCGGAGGGGTCTGTGTAGCCCTCAAGGGCGGCGGTCCAACCGCCTTGGGCGACGTGATAGAGCAACCGCACCCAGTCGAAGATTCGGAGTTTTGCACGGGGGCTGAATCCGGTATACGCACAATCCCAAACCTCGACATAGTGCTCCAGGAGCTGGAGCTCAATGATATCTCTCCTTCCGAGATTTGTTGACTGCCTTGCTGCCGTTTGTACGTGCTGGAATGCGTCTCCGAGGTCCCTTTTGGTTGGAAGGTCATTTATGGTAAACACACGTTGAGCAGGCCTTGCGGTGTTGGTGGTCTGCTCACTGAAGGCAGCGGGGGTGACCACCGTGGTGGGTAGGGCTGTTGTCTCGGAGGTAGAGGTCCGAGGTATTACTTGACGTAGGGCTGCTGTTGCTGCTGCTGCTGCCGCTGCGGCTGCTGCTGCTGCTGCTGCTGCTGCTGCTGCTGCTGCTGCTGCTGCTGCTGCTGCTGCCGCTACGGCTGAGGTTGCTGGCTTGATGGGTAAAGAGCTGCCTGGGCTGTCGCGTTGATCCCAAACTCGTTGGGCTGGCGAGCCAGCGTAGTCCAGGTATCGGAGGGAGTCCCGTCGTCGGGGTATATGTTGGTGATGGGTCTCCACTGGGAGGCCTGGGTGCGGTTTATGGCGAAGGAGGTACTTGGTTCGAGAAAGAAGTCACGGAACTGTCCCAATGGTGGGGCTGTCGTTGTCGCTGTCGGGGGGGGGGGGGGGGGTGCTGTGCCGAGGCAGCTCCAGGGGGCTGCGCCCCAAGGGCTCTGGTAATGGCGGCCGCGAAAGTCGCCGCCAGGCTCTCGCGGCTTGTAGCAATGATATTGCGGAACTCCGCTGTTTGCTGCTGCCTTTTTGCCTCCTGGTGTTGGCGGTCTTCGACAAGTGCGTTTTGCAGCTGTGCAGAATGTCTGCCCACAAGACTCTGAAGGTGCTCGGTAAAAACCGCTGCATCCTCGTTGGTTGCTTCCTTGACGGAGTGGCGGGGCATGAGCGGGTCTTCCTCACCAATAACGGGGCTACTCGTGCTTCGAAGCGACTATCTTGGGAAACCCTGTTTGGCTATGCGGATGGGCAGCTGCCAAACAGACTTTGGTAAAAGGCGACAATTTGTTGAAGTAAACGGCTATAAATTATTTCATTCTCATGCTTCTTCTAGAGTTCCTCAATGGTCCGTCCTCTGCCCCCTACTGTTTTTTTTTTTTGGCAATAATATAGCTCGTGACATTTTTTTTTTCTTTTTTGCCCGCATCTCTTCTCGGGTACGATATTATTATTTATATACACCAAAATGATGTTATCGTCAGATCATGACAATATTTTTGCGCACTCAAACAAAAAACGAAACAAAAAAAAAACTGATCAGTGATGAGTAGAGAGGTAAATTTATTATCCCGCGAAAAATATATATATTTATGCAAATAACGCGGAAAATAACTTCTCTTCATAAGCACAGTATATATGGTCTCCAATTTCCACACGTTACCTCATGTAACTATCACCTTGGAGTCACTGTCATTAACGATCTACGTTAAAATTACCATATCAGTGGTGTTACATACTGTGTATTTAATAAACGTTGGTACGCACGAAGGAATAGACCCTTTCCGAAATTCAGTGCCATCTGGTGGCTGAAATGGCGGTTTAACTTTTGCCATACGAATGGCGGCAATGAACCCGTAGCCTGCAGTATTTTATCGGGCACCGTCATTTTTGCATGTCAACGGCAGACGAGAATAAACTT